CATCATTGATGTTTCTATCTCCCCTTCCTTTCCCTTCCTCTCTGAAATAAATAAAAATATACTTTAAAAACAATGTGTATTGGGAAGCTCATTGGGTGGTTTATAGCTATAGTCTTCATTAAAGGGGACATGTTAAATGTGTCTGTAAGAGTGGAACTTTAAGTTAATGAAACGGGTTTCATCTGTTGTTTACTGGAGTCATTTCATTACTTTATGGTCACACCTCCAGCATCTAAAGGTCCCTGTAATTATTTGATGGCTAAATATGGCTGTCCTTTTCACACAGAAATGACAGGATCGATCCATTGTTATTCCCAGCCCTCAGGTTCGTTTAATCGCCTTTTCCACGGGCCTCTCAGCAATGTTCTCGTGTCACCAAAGATATCTCTCAGGAGACACGAACCAAGGTGAGGAGCATGGGGTGCTTTCTGGAGCAGCATTCATTCATTCAGTCAGTCAGTCATTCACTCATTCATTCATTCAATCAGTCAGCCGAAGAATACTTACGAGATTTCAGACCCTATGCTTCTGTTTTCTGCATGAATACAAGTCATGATCCCGGCCTTCAGAGAGGCCAGGGCTTTGTGGGAGGACCTGCAAGGTTAACCTAACGAGCCTACCAGCCCAGAGAGGTTACCTGGAGCACCCAGGGAGGACCACCTGTCAGCCAGGTGGTCCAGGCAGAGGGCGCTTCATCTGCTGAAGCTGCAGAGAGCACCTGCTCAAGACGTCGCTGATGCCTGAAGGAGGAGGAGACAGCGAAGGGAGGCAGGCGATGAAGGTCAGGCAAGACTAGGAAGGTCTTTGCCAGCCGTGCATTTGGCTGGAGAGCACGTGGAGGGTTTAATGAGAGGAGGTCTTGTGTCCTATTGGTATCGCATCCGAGCTGAATTAATCAGCCATCCTTTATGCCTTCACTTTACCTGTCAAAATGTCCAAACTGGTTCTGCTTTTTTTTTTATGCTTTTGGGTGTGTTTTTTTTTATTGTCCAAACTGAGCCGGTTTCCATTTCTGACAGATTTGACTTTGAAATGTTTTTGCTTCCCTGAAAGATAGGGAGAATTCTATTTCTGGTCAGAATTTCCCACTTCTCTCTTCCTTCCTCAGCTACCTGCTTGAGGTCTTCCCCCACGCTAAATTAGAACGGCAAATCGACTTCAAAATATACAGGGGTTTTTTTAAAAAAAAGATGATATGCTATTCATTTTCTATCTGCCTGTATAATTAGTGTTGGACTGAATACACCAGTTTAGAAATCACTTTGGGTCGTAATTTATACAATTGAAAATCGAAAATATTTTCATTGCTGTGAGAATATCACTGAATTTCACTTTTGTTAAAAATCTTTTCAAGACTAGAGCCCAACCTGGTCTAGGGAAATATTTGAGAAAAGTCAGCCTTGTGATGTGTGTTCATTTTAAATATTTCTCCTATAGTTGAAATATAAATGGGGAAATAAGACCATGTGTGATAGAATGCACCCGTCTCTTCAATACTTTCTCTCCATGTCCCAGTCAGCTCTTCAGAAATAGAGAAGTTGCCCCCTTTTTAACTAAGACAATGAAAGGGCCGAAAACCACCAATGCAGTCATTTTAAACATCATCATAAATACGCTGAATTGCTACCCAGCTGCCCAAGTCACTTCCTTGTATCCAAATATACCAGCTTAGCTCTACACAGCCAGTTTTTATTATTTTTTATACTTCTTTTTGTTTTAATTGATTTTGCAGAGAGGAAGGGAGAGGGATAGAGAGTTAGAAACATAGATGAGAAACATCTATCAACTGCCTCCTGCACGCCCCCTGCTGGGGATCGAGCCTGCAACCAAGGTACATGCCCTTGACCAGAATCGACCCTGGGACCTTTCAGTCCACAGACCAACACTCTATCCACTGAGCCAAACCCGTTAGGGCTAGTTTTTATTTCTTTTTAAATATATTTTTATTGATGTCAGAGAGGAAGGGAGAGGGAGAGAAAGATAGAAAACATCAATGATGAGAGAGAATCATCGATCGGCTGCCTCCTGCATGCCCCATACTGTGGATTGAGCCTGCAACCCGTGCCCTGACTGGGAATCAAACCGTGACCTCCTGGATCATATGTCGACACTCAACCACTGAGCCACACCAGCCGGAGAACACAGTCAGTGTGAGTGCTACACAGCGCCATGCTCTGAGGATGTGACGGAGTCAGGTGGGGGAGGGTTAGAGCCCTCTTTCTGTGGGCCCAGCTGAAAGAACCCTCCTGACATGTTCATGGGGGGGATGCAGGCCAAGGGGTGCAGAACAAAGGTGCCAATGGACCTGCTGGAATTTCCCAGAACCAATTACCTTATCCCCCTATGACCCCGGCAAGGACCAAGGGCCGCACAGGCCACAGTCATAACCCAACGTTCTTTCCCAGGCTTTCTCTCCGGTGCAGTGGCCTCAGGCCTTTCGTAACCCGAGGAGCCTTTTCGCCAAGAATATTTTGTTATTTAGGACATTGTCAGTGATTATCCGCCCTCCTCTCCTATTTTCCAATTCCAGGCACTGGGATTAAAGCATCACATGAAAGACACGGCCAGGTTAATCCTAGCTCCACCTGCCGCGTCCGTGTTGTCCTGAACAGGTGGGATCAGCCACATCTGGGTTTATAGGATGAATTTCATTACGTTGAATGCTCTTGCTGGGATTATGTGCTTTTTTATTTAATGTTTTGCCCAGGGCTGCTCTTAATAAGTATGTAATGGCCCTACGAAGTTTTGGATTTTTTTTTTCCACTTTAATAGTAGCTGAGAAAAAAAAAAATCCCCATGATGTTACTGGAGAAATTGTCACTGTCACTGCATGTTTAAAAATGCAGGTTCATCTCCCTGAATTAAAGCCTGTTATTTCATCTACTCCCTAAGTGAAATGATCCAAAAAAAAAAAAAAATCTAATGAGAACAAAAACAACAGAGAACAGACTCCCTGCATTGTATATTATTTATAAAAGAAAAGCAACTGGAGTGTCCGCTTAGATTGGGGGCCATGCTTAAACAGCTTATAATAACAGCCGACACTCGGTGGCAATTTTAATGTGCCACGATCCAGTCCAAACACTTCCTTCCTCACTAAACACCCTGTTTAGGCCCTGATTTTCCAAATGAGGAAACCGAGGCACAGAAATTAAAGAACTCACTTGCGTTCACAGACAAGGACGTGGCAGAGCAGGATTGGAACTCAGGGCCGTCTCCAGGGTCCACAAGGCCACGCCCCTGGGTGCCTCTCTTAACCAGAGGGGCGCCTGGGTTCCTGCAGTGAGCGCACAGCGGCATGCTTGACCTCTGGCCTCTGACCTCTGACCTCTGGAGGGAGAGACTTTAGTCTGAAAGTGTGACCATCTTCGCTCACACAGAGAATAAAGCCATTTGATTGCTGCTGCTGTTACTGTCTGTTGTTTGTTTTAATCCTTGGGATGGAGGAAAGGGGGCGGGGAGGCATTACAAAGAAGCCAAAATGTTTCCCCTGAAATGCCCAGAGTGAGAATGGTGAGAACCCCAAGGAAGCCCTAAAAATTAGCCAGCTCTCTGATCCTGGTGACCAAACTTTGATTGGAACCGGGGACAAGAAATAAAAAACAGTTAGGAAAAGCTGGTCTTAAAAAAGGCACTATGGAAATGATTGGGTTTTAAAAGCCCGAAAGCCGTTAAAACTATAAGCATGCGCTCCTCAAATACCAATGTTTTTTAATGCTAGACTGATTGTTTCCATTTTCTTCCCTTATATTTGCTTTTCTGTTTTGTTTTTTTCTGGTATATTTCTACTCCATCAAAGCTCCAAAGCAGTCTGCAATTTACAAATCTCCAGTTGTTTCCATTTGCGTTTCGGTCCTTTCACACAAAGTCATCACCAGGCCAAGGGAGCAAACAATGGCCATTGGGAAAACCTCAGTGTCGTACGTCACAGGAACACACTGACCAGGGTCCCCAGGAGGGTCATGGGCGGTGTCAGGCATCATCCCGTGTACAGGGTCCCTGGGAGGGTCGCTGGGCGGCGTCAGGCATCATCCCGTGTACAGGGCCCCTGGGAGGGTCATGGGCGGTGTCAGGCACCATCCCGTGTAAGGCATGAAACGTAAGGCAGTTAGCACAGCAAAGACCTTCGAAGTCAGCGAGTTTAACTCTGAAGTCCTTGTTTTGGATGATTTTCATAGATAGGAATCCAGAACCTTCTAGCACTCATTCCCAGGCCTTTTCCTTCGCGCTCTACTCTTTATTTTCTTTCCTAAAATATTATTCTGCTGGTAATGAACAATTCACGTTTGCTACGTCTGTGTTACCCTCATGGTCTGTTCCTCCCCCACCAGATAAACACCTCAGCCTGACTATTGGCTTCATTCAAATAGCCATCAGCAACTTTTCCCCGGTGTGCGATGTGCGTGCTCTCGATGCCGGAGATTTTTGCAGCCTGATTTCTTTTTTATCAGGACTCTATTTTTCTTCTTTAAATGCTTATTCACGTATTAGGAGTGACGTAGTGCATTTTAATTACTCAAGGTGGTAGCTGGGAGTTAAACAAATACATGAATGAGAAGATCTTAGAAATCTCTTTTGTTGACTGGAACATGTGGAACCCACATTTCCCGGGAACATATTTGCGTTCTTTTAACAGGTTAACGGGGGGGGGGGGGGGGGCAAAAAGGTAAGGGTCCATCAGATGGTGGTGGGCATAGTGGAGACACTGCCCTGGTGCACAACTTTATTCCTCACCGTGAGTGTTCCTGAGCAGGGAAACACTGTGGTGCAGAATGGAGTGGAGTGAGAAGCAGCCCATTAGACCACCTGGTGGCAAAGGACCGCAAACCATTATCTCACACAAACCGCGCATTCGCTCAGGTGGGAATTGCTATTGTAGACAGTTCTGATGAAGGAGAAGGAAAGGCCAGGAGTTGCCGCCTTTGTTGTGAAGGGGAATGGGAGTCCACAGCACCCAAAGCTTTGACACATGGCGAATCCCAATTCGTGTTCCCCGGTACATGGCTCAGGGCCAGCGCTTCTGGGAGAATGGCTACGTGGACCTGAGAGTGAGTGTGGGTGTAGGAAAGTTAATAACACTTCCAAATTAGCCGGCTTTCTTTCTTTCACTCTCTCTTTATTTTTTCTCTTAATTTCCCGAAAACCTGTAAGATAGGCCGGCTTATCCCTTTGAGGCCTCTGCTCATTTTTGAGGCCCAATTGATACTCTTTCCACTGAGGCGTTCATCATGAAGTTGGTCTTTTCCTATCATGAGTGGTGAATACGAGCCATTGTAAGAATGTAGTAGGAAGGGTGGGCACCGTGGGGCTGGCTGCTCAGTGGAGTGAGGTTGCTAATGAAGGCTTCCTGTTACCCAGCTCTTGTCTTCGGGGGTAATTAGCCTGAGCAAGGCAGGTTAGAGACGTTCTTCCCAGGTTTTGTACAGCGTGACTTCCCACTTAGCATTTGTCTCCTTCCAGGCCTATAACCCGAGGCAATCACCGAGCTTCCCCACGGGAAAGATGTCTCTCTGAGTTATGCTTACGGCACCTTCCTTTATTAATTTTATGAGGGGCAAATCCATTTTAACATTCATTTTATTGTTTGCGCATCCAAGGATTTGGGGGTTGCATTGGTAAGTATTGTTATTATTTTTAAAAAATAGAAATAAGGTATAATGACAATCAATCGTGACCCAAACACATCTTAATTAAATATTTTAAAACTCCACATTCTTTTTAAATAATATATTATGCTGTTTCTCTTAGGAGTCCTCTTATCAGTCTATTGAAACATTGTAAGGAACTAAGTGATCTTGGTTGATGGATGTCAGAGGTGGCAGGAGATTAATCTAGAATCCTAGCTCTCTCGTCATTCGATTGAACAGATCAATGCCGACATCTTTCCACTTTGTCTATAGAATACACATACACCCACAGCACCCACACACACACACACACACACACACACACTCACACACACACACACACACACTCACTCACACTCACTCACACTCACACACACACACAGCACCCACACACACACACACCCACAGCGCGAGCTCGCGCACACACACACACTCACACTCACACACTCACACACTCACACTCACACACTCACACACTCACACACTCACACTCACACACACACACACACACACACACTCACACTCACACTCACACACCCTCCTGTTTCCCAGAACTCTTACCCACACCCCACCACCATTTTACCACCCAGTTGCTCCATAAGGTGACAGGGAGAGAGACTTCTTATTGGTCATCTTACCTCCCTCACAGGTTATTGGAGGTTGACCCAGTCCCGGCCATTTTTCTTTTCCTTGTGAGGGCTGAAGGGGCCGCTCATGACAGAGATTTCTCCATTAAAAATGCAACCCAGCCCTAACCAGTTTGGCTCAGTGGATAGAGCATCGGCCTGTGGACTCAAGGGTCCCGGGTTCGATTCCGGCCACGGGCATGTACCTTGGTTGCGGGCACATCCCCAGTGGGGAGTGTGCAGGAGGCAGCTGTTCAATGTTTCTCTCTCATCGATGTTTCTAACTCTCTATCCCTCTGCCTTCCTCTCTGTAAAAAATCAATAAAATATATATATATTTTAAAATGCAACCCAGAGTACCAGCGGGAGAAGCCACTGTCACAGAGTCAAATTCTCGGAGTAACACGCCTGCTTGTGTCTTGTATCATGTCTTTAAACTACGTAGCGGTGACTGAGTTCTTGTTAGAGATCTTTTTTCTTCCCTTGTTCACACGTCTGCCTTGAAATATCAGAAGTTTAACTAAGCAGGTAGCCATCAGCAGCTGGAAGGCAGTTCTGTATTGATGTCTTCCCAACGGTGGTCCCTGCGATTGTGTTGCTGGCGTGGTCATTTCTATTCACGCTCAGCTGCCATTGAAAAGCCACAGAGTATGACACGCCGTACGCCGATATGAAAAATACCATTCAGCCGCTGTGTTATTCCAAGCTGTGCCTCTGCACAATGAATTGCTCCAAATTTGGTGAAAACCCAAAACAAGTCACCTTGAGCTGAAAGGCAGGCGTAGAACCGTGAGTGGCTTTTTAAAACAGAAAACAAGCTCCGTGCGTGCGCCCAATTAGAGCCACACAGTGGTGTATTCATGTTTCAATATTGTCTGACCTGTCACTTGTATGGAGTTTGTCGTGCTTTGATCAAAACCGTGTTATCATTTCTGCGACACAGTTCCTGTAAGATCTGCAAGTCCCACTGCAGGTTGCTGTGGTCGGCTTGTTTGCTCCTTGACTATCGTTCCCTCAAAGCTCAGGCTGTGTGATCAGGCAGATTTCAACCTGAAACGAAGCTCTTCGAATTCTCATCTCAGCAAAGTCATAAAACTATACAACACCGCCAAGACTCAGTTTCCTCGCTTATGAAATGGGAAGAATATGTTCATTATGAGGGTGGAAGTAAACAGCATGTAGCATTCAGTAGGCCTTTACTCGTATTTCTGTTATGATCAACTACACCGTCAGAAAGGCTCACGAAAGCTCCATTCATCTCCAGAATACCGACGTTTTGCTCACTTTCTCGCTGTAGAGCGTATGAACTTCACTCCCCAAAGAACAGTTCCCTCCTTTGTCCTTGTCAAAACCTGACATATTTCTTTGAACTTAAAAATTAAGTTTTTCAGTGAAAGTTATGTTCTGTAAAGAAGATGAGTTAGGCCCGGCTGGTGTGGCTCAGTGGTGAGCATCGACCTATGAACCAGGGAGTCACGGTTCAATTCTTAGTCAGAGCACCTGTCCAGGTTGCAGGCTCGATCCCCAGTGTGGGGTGGGCAGGAGGCAGCTGATCAGTGAATCTCACTCATCATTGTTGTTTCTATCTCTCTCCCTCTTCCTTTCCCTCTGAAATCAATAATAAAAAATATATTTAAAAATATTTTTAATTGAAATTATAAGAATGGTGGTCAGACAAAACCAGTTAGAGCTCAACAAGTGTGTTCTAAACAAATTTATCCTCTTCGTGCATTTGTTAGTTTAGTTTACAATTTCCAAGTTTTCCTTTTCCATTTTTTTTTTTACAGATTCAGCTTATGAGTCATTAATAGCATACACTCAGAAGCTTGTATATAAAGCAACAAAAGCATGCTGGTAACTGACAGACACCAAGCCTCCGTGAATATGAGTCCCAAATAACCTAATTATGCTATCCATTTTTGTAACAGTTTGGTATGGATTGATATTTAATTAAAAATAGGTAATAGAGGAATGTAAACTGTAATTGAAAAATAAAATTTTAAAAAAATAAAAGAAGCAATAGGTAGGAAAACGCACAGTCTGACACAGCGGTGCGGGCTCTCTGAGTCTGTGGCTAAACAGATATTTCTCCATCTTTGGGTCAAAACAGTGCTACCATCTGAGCCAAGAGCTTTGCAGGCTCAACTCCAATCATGTTTGGCTCATGCGTATATATTAGTAACCTCAGAATCGAGGCCAGGCACTGTCTCTTAAATGCATTGAAAAAAATGGCATTAATAAAAAGAGGGAATTACGGGGAGGTAAGACCTGTTCTGTCATGTTTAGTACCCGTTCTAAAAACAATGATGCAGAGTTTCCAGCGAAAACCGTCTCTTCCAGTTAAAATTCCCTCCTGACCAAGGAGCGATGCCGGGAGCTTTTAAAAGTCAAATGGGAATCAGCTTCGGGAAAATAGCCCCGGTGTTTCCAGCGACTCGGCCACACAAGTTTATGGAGCGCCTGCCCCTGTCCACACACACCCTGCCTTCCCACAGGGCCGGCTTCCTTATCACCATCAATAATAGCATTTAGCATTTTGAATCATCATATTATTAAACTAGAGGCCTGATGCACGAAAGTCGTGCAAGGGGCTCGGCCCTCGCAGCTGCAACGCCCGGCTTCATCCAGAAGGATGTCCAGAAGGTCGCCCAGACGGTCGGCCGTTTGGTCTAATTAGCATATTACATTTTCATTATTATAGATACAACTCATCTTCTGTAAGAGACCCAAAGTAGGTTGCTCGATGTGTTTTTTGAGGATTTCTTTTTCACGTGGTGGAGTGTTCCTTCTCAGTAGCTGCTTTCAGAAGGTGGGGCGATGGGCTTGGTGTCTGCCATGGAGGAGTTTCTATCACAAACTGACGACTCGCTACATCTGCTCCACAAGGTTGTCACTCTCTGCTGGGCTGAGGGGCGCACAGAGTCCTCGGTGGCTGAGAGATGAGCGTTTGACAAAGAACCCCGCCGGGTGGATGTGTTCCAATGAGCCCTCCAGGGCGTTTTGCGGAGGTGAAGTCCCGCAGGTGCTTGGGGCGGGAGGAGGGAGCTCGCCCTTGGGAAGGTTATGTGCCTGCTCTGTGGACCCGAAACCCTCAGAGGCAGCTGCGCCCCCTGGGGAGCCCTGTCCCTAATCTGGACACCGTTGAGCAAGTGAAAGGTGATGTGGATTTCAAGCAAGTTGTCAAGGGGGGATGTGGAGCATTTTTGTGGGGTTTTTTAAACATTTTTTTAAAAAAAGAGTGTAATTTACTCTTGCAGCAGCCCTGTGACTTTGTACTTTTTTTTTTCTTTTCTTTTTGGACTTCATGCTTTTGCATAAGTGAGACAATTCCTTTTCTTTGTTGAAATATATTTCTTATTGTTGGTAGTATTACAGATATCTCCCATCTCCCCTCCCTCCTCCCAGCCCCTGCTCCCCACCCACCCCAGGTCTTCATGTTGAGGCTGGAGGCCGCTCCCCAAGTCGCTTGAAAAGCTACTCCTGAAAGCGACCCCTACGAATGAACGCGGCTCCCCGTGAAGGATGAGCGCCCGAGCGCCGACATCGGAAGCACTTAGACGCTCTAGTAAAACCGTCTGTAGGACACGACGAGCGCAACGCGTCATAAATACTTAAAGATCGCTGAGCGCATTCCTTCCTCCCTTGTTTCCAAGCAGCTTGCTTTTTGCATGATGACAAGAAGCAACGATCAATAATCTCCCATTTCTTAGTAAAGGCACGGAATGGGTCACTGTTTCCCCCCCTTCTGTACAGGTTCTTGCTTTTTATGCTTGTTTGTTGGTTTGGGACAATGCC